GCAAGTACTGTACCCTTGAGCTGCTATACCCTCAGTCCATGCAGTAGTAGGTATTTTCAAAAGTCCTTCAGTAGATTCTGATGCAGGCTGAAGTTTGAGAACCGCTGAGTTACAGTGGTGTAGGGGAGGAGTTGTGGCCAGGTGTTTCTGAAGGAAATTAGTGTCTGGAATGAGCTCTGTTTTTGGTTTGGGAAATCTGAGTATGTGGTATTCTTTACTGCAATGCACAAAACTAAGACAGGAAAAAATGAGTTTTGTGAAGGAATTAAGCTTCAGATGTTTGAAGTCAAGAGTGCAGAAACAGACCTTTTTTCACTGGGCCACCTCTCAGAATGAGGAAGCAGTTCTACCAGTCAGAGGGAGAGATTCACAGGTTGGCCCAAGCTCTGTAGTCAGTCTCCTTCTTAGAAGGTCTCAATTTTATTTTATTTAATTTTATTTATTTATTTATTTAATTTATTCTTTTTGGTACCAAGGATTGAACTCGGGACCTTGCACTTGCAAAGCAGGTGGTGGAACCACTGAGCTAAATCCCCAGCCCGAAGGTCCCAATTTTAGAAACAGGATTTTTCCCAATGAGGTTGCTCTGAGTGACAGTTCAAGTCATGGCCCAAGAATGATTGTGCAGGAAAAGCTGAGTGCCAACCCCCAAGCTAAGTTTTACTCACTGGCTGCTCAGGTGAAAACAGCTTATGAAAATAAAAGGAGATGCTTTTAGCCAGGAAATCAAAGCCTGGGCCTTGTCCTGGGAGCTCTTCTTTTGGGAGACCAAGAGCTGCCTATGATAAAGCTCTAGCTGCAGCCTACTCACTCTGACTAGTGCTGTCATAGGCAACTCAACAGGTTCTAACAGTTCTGCTCTAACAGAGGTCCCAACTCCAGGAGAAGTCACCTATGACACCAGAAATCTGGCCTGGAGGCCTTTGCATGAGAATTTGGGTTTTGTTTAGCATATAGTTGCAATACACACAAGCGGCAGCAAGCCCTTATCCCTGGTCCTCTCTGGCATGGGATGCACACCCTCAGTGACACTTGACAATACATAGATGAAGCACAGAGTATGTGAATACCACTCTTGTAGTGGTGCTAAGAGCAGGTACAAGCCAGAGAGGAATAGACAAACTAAGTTCTAGACTAGAAATTCTTAACTTGGTCCTTCAAGGTGGATGGTCTGTGAAGCAGCTGAGAGAGCCTCAAGTTTTCATCAGATTTTTCAAACCTAAGACTCTAGAATTTAAAATTAAAGAACTTTTACTTTAGAGAGCAGTGGTTCTCACACTTCACCCTGCATCAGAATTACCTAGAAGGGTTGTTACAGCAGGGCTTTCTGGGCCCCAGACCCAGAGTTCTGATTAGGTAGATCTGGAATGGGGCTCAAGAATGTGTATTTCCAACAATTTCCAAGGGAAAGCTACCACTCTTGGTCCAGGGTCCACACCCTGAGAACCATGCTGTAGAGGATACAAAAGAATCATGAAGGGTTCAAATTCAAATTACGGTCTTCTCTTTTCAGACCAGAGTTTTAACAGATGTCACAGCCCTCTAAAACACCCTTAAGCTCTGAGGAATTTGAGATTTTATCTTTGGAAAAAGCCCCTGGAGAGTGAGACTCCTAACCTCTCCTTGAAAGTCAAGAAACATCTGGAAAATAATATTTTAGAGGGCACAGGAATATGCTTCCAGAAACTTAAAAGGCTGAGCAAAACTCAGCTAGAAACTACACAACTGATTCTAGCTAATCCAATTAGTGGGCCAACTGTTGGTGAATAGTGAGGTTTGGAGAATCCGGGACTAGATTCTGCCTCCTGACCCTCGTTGTTGATCTTATATCTAAAGCCACATGGTATTAGAAGGTCTGCTGTAAGGAAGAAAAAGTATTTGAAAGGGGCCAGTATCTGGGAAATAGGAGAAGGAAACTGACAACTCAATGAGACAAAGTTCAAGACCCTCATTCATAGAATCCTTTGTTCAGGTCATTGGCAGGAATAGTACAAGGGCCATGCTTACTTCAAGCAAGAGTAGTGGAGAGAGAGAGAGAGCCATTTAATAGCTTCCTTTAGACCTGCTCTGAGTAAGTCATTCCCCCATGAAAGGGGAGGAAGAAATGAAAATGTGGATTCATTTATGAATCAACTTCCAGAACAGGAAATGTGGCTTTTGAGCTAGGCAGAGGAACTCTTTGTATAAGAAACATTGGTTGTACTGTCCAGCTAAATATGCCATGAGGGCCCGTGTGTGGTGGTGCACACCTGTAATCCCAGCACTCTGGAAACTGAGGCAGGACTGCTGTGAATTCAAGGCCAGCCTGAGCTACCTAGTGAGTTTAAGGCCAGGCTGAACTACACAGCAAGACCCTGTCTCAAACAAAACAAACAAAGCCAATAAATAAATAAACCGTGAGGTAAGGTAATGTCAAAGGAGACATTACATATTTGGGAGTATGGAGGTAGAGCTTTATAGGGCAGGCAGTATAGTCAGGGTAACTGAGACCATGGTTGTGCTTTGATATCAGCCTACCTGGACTTTGAATTCTGGTTGCAGAGCACTGGGCATGTTAATTTTTCTGTACCCTACTGTTTTCATCTGCACAACAGAGGCAATAATAGTGCTTATCTTATAGGGTTGCAATAAGAATGAAATGAAATAACATAGGTAAAATGCTCAGCTTGGGGTTTTGAGTATTTAAGCACTCAGTGTTAAAAAAAAAGTGGTGGGCTTAGAAAAATTTAGGTACTTTTAGTGCCACCATCAATCTCCATGAGAGGCTCACTGAATTCTGTGGTATAAGTCCAGAAGGATGGCAGAGACAGGATGCCAACGGTATGGAGTTAACTGAACCACCCTGCTGGCTATAAAGTGGGGATATTCATTCTTTTAAACACTGAAATGTTCAATGAATCTGTTTTGTGATATTTCTTCACTGCCAATCTAAGTGTCAAATGGTCTGAGTTGAACAAATCAGAAAAGTGAAAATCAACGTTAGTAGGAAAACTGAAGATTTGCAAGATTAAGGTGGAATCCCCATTGTTAGGGAAAATATGTGGATCCTCCTACTTAAGTTTCAGAAGTGTAGTGCAACATGAAGTCACAGTAGTGGAGGTATGTGGTCACCCTGAGGAGAGCTAGTACCCTGACAATGAAAAAGAGGGATCCTTTCCCTCTGATCCCAAATGAGCCGAAATTCTTCCAAAACCCAGTACCCCAAATCAAAAAGTCCTATTTGCTTGGAAAGCAACTCTTACTGGAGCTAGCAACAAAGAGATTTCTAAAAAACAGGCAAAAGAGCCAAAATACATTACATTATCACATGCATCACTTTTATCAAATAAAAGTTTATATCCATTGGAGGTGGGAGTAGGAAGAGATTGCCAATTGTATCATGTTAGAAAAGGAAATACTAAAGAAAAGTGACAAAAAGTTCTTAACCATGTTATGCTGGGCTCCTTTCTTGAGGGGCCTCATGGCTCTACTCTAGCCTTGCCTTGTAGTTCATACTAATCCCATGTCTGGGATGTTCCCCTTGTGACCCTGCAGTAGGATCTCACCTCAAGGCCTCTTGCTCTCAAAATGACCACTGAACATATCATGGTCCTGTTTGAACCTGTCTTTAAAATATTAAGGCCACAGGACAGTTACAAACAGGCCTGGTTTCTGGCTTTTCATTGCCATATATTTACTGGGAGCAAATCTTGGCTAGTTTTCACGTTTGTGTTCTTCTCAGATTGGGATTCAGGAATTTATTTTACCCTACCTTGAGGAATATGCAGAATCTGGTTTCTTTTTTCAGAAAGTACTCACCTGTCTTCTTTGTGATCTTAGAGTCAGAAGCACCGCAGAACTAAAGGAAAACTAGTTTCTTAGACACTCCACGTACCTCTCCAAAACAGTGGCACCCTCAGATTTGGTTTTTGTTTTTGTTTTATACCAGGGATTAAACCCAGAACCCAGTTTCAGCTGGGAAGAAAGGCATGTACCAGTATCCCCAGCTTAGCTTTAATTTTTGGTTGTAAGATGTCTTCATTGTTTTTATTAACTGGTAGTTGTCAGGTGTGGAAACTACTCCAATCCCACTGTTCTCTACAAATGGGTGCTATTTTAGCAAGAAAACCAACAAAACAGTAATTACAATAACAAATTCTCATGGGATTCATCTAGGGAAGCCTGAAATTCTAACACTATGAACTATGCACGAGTTTTTAGAATATAATGATTGTCATGTATATCTAAGTAACATTGGAAGATTTTCCATAGTATGCTTTTTGCCAGGAACCTTGGAGACTTATTTACTCCCAGCCTTCCTTATATCCACCCTGAAAGTACAAGCATCAAAGATGATAAAATGAAGCAAGGCACAAATAAAACTTCAAACTCTACTTTTAGAAGTCAAAGAAAATATATACCTGAGGTCTTTGCTGGTTTTTAAATTAAAAGTCAAATGTGGAGTAGTTCTCTTTAGTTAATCTACTCTTCTAGAAAATTCCAATGAAACTATCCTGAAAGATCATCCTTTTGTCATGATTTTTACGAGTAACTTAATTCCGTTTGCCATTCTACTCATTAGAAAAGTAGTTTCGAAAGGTGTGTGTGTGTGTGTGTGTGTGTGTGCGTGCGCGCGTGCGCGCGCGCGCGCTACCCTAAATCAAATTTAAAATGACAGGAAACAGAAAACCTTCCACAGGAAAGAACATGATCCATAGGAAAAGTTTTTCCTTCTCCAATGTGATGGCTTCATTAACTGTTGCACCATCAGAAAAAATAGACTCGAGAAGCTGGACAGGGAACTATTCACATAAAATCTTAAAAAATAAACAAATCTGTTTTAATAAAATAGAAAATAGCTTTTTTCCAGCTTGAGAGAACAACTAATGCTACAGCAATTAACGATTACAATGGGCAAGTAGTAGCATACCTGCTGCCTATGCCTAAAAATAGTTTTCATTAAAAATAAAAATCAAAGAGCCACCGATCCCTCCCCCAAAAAAGCACTGAAACAAGACTGATCTGTTTATATAGTCACATGAAAAATAAACATCTTTATTTTTTGCCTACTTTATTTCATTTTTTCAAATAAAATTTCAATCTGTACAAAGTATACTGTTACAGTATATATTTTGTAAGAATCAATGCCTAAAAGAATCACAATACTTCAATAAGCAGTACAGCAGACCTCGCTAGTTTCAGCTTTGATATTGAACAAACTCAAGCCGGCTGATGCACAACACATTTGCTTGGTTTCCACATGGTGAGTTCCCAGCACTGAGATGGGAGAACATGACAGCAAATATGGTTATATTACAGCCCAACACACGCGCTTCTTCATATGATAATATCTGCACATATGCAATACAGAATGCTCAAATTTACTTTTTAAATTGCATTTGCTTACTTTTTAGTTGGCAAAATTCAACATTCTTGAATGGGGTCCCCAAACAGTGCAAAGTAATGATATTCTACTATATATTGGCACATTTCCAATAAGGATTAACTTGTAAACTCAAAGAATATCAACAACTTCATCCTAAATTTTAACTAATGTACATCTGGTCCATTTAACCAAAGTCATTTTGGAAAGATATTAAAGAACAATTCTATTTCTGAAAGGATATTGTTTTGACCATTCTTTAAAGATAAATTTTTAAATTGTCATTAAAATGTTTTATTATAAAAATTTTACAAACTTGATTAGAAATTTCAAGATGATGATTCACAGCAGACAAATACAAACTTTATATTCCAACAATACCTACTCTTAGACTTTCAAATAGAGCACAATCATGTCAGCTGTGTGAACTAAAATTCTGAACAGTGTACTAAATTTATAAGTGGTGCTGGGTCTAGCAAGTGTAAATACACAGTATATTTCAATGAAAAGAATTGTCTTCTTTATACTTTATTTGTTTTCCCATAAGGAAACATTAATGTTTACATTCTTTAATAAAGTTAATCTTACATCAGAATATAACTTAATACTGTCAGCAACAGGGACCACACACAGTAAATAAGAAGCACATTTAAAATAAGTCTGAATTCACATAGATTAACATTTGTTGGTTAATAAAATATTGACAGTATTACAATCTTACAATATTTACAGTAAGAAAAATCTAGAGTAATATATACCTTTCACAGCAGGATTCCTTTTAAAAATTTCTTCCAGTTTGGGATTGTGTATACACAAAAAGCTCAAAATAAAGCAACTCTGCAATATAATCTTAAAATAATGGCTACTAGGGGGATATTCTATCACAACCATTGAAAATAATGGTGACTTCTCACGGAGTCTGTGGCATCTGAGAACCCAGTTAATTAACCAAAGTCTTGCTCAAGCCAGCCTCAGTTACCCAGATTAAAGCTGCAGAACTCCGGCCTTCCCTGACCGCTGAAAACCCAACTGATTTCCTCATCATGCTATAAGAAAAGAGGGAAAATTGGTTTCAGCTCATACCTCATGGCTGGAAGCTTCCGGCCAGTGCACATTCCCTAAATTATGCTTTAAAAAGGGCCAATTTCATCCCTTTGGCATCACAAGAGTCCATCCTCCCATCACAGTGCATCCTGATACCAAGCTCACTCATTCCTCAACCCTTGTGCATTGAGATAAAGCATGAACTTGGCCCATATAATACACACCAGTATCTTAGAGACTTGGGACCGGGGGCAAAGAAACAGACTAGTGTAGTTTGCATTGAGATCAATAGGAAAAATGGGAAGTGATGCACATTTCCAATTAGAATGACAAGAAGACCCACATCCCTAAACTGGAACTTGGCCAGGGCATCAGAGTTAGCACCCCCTCTCTGAGTACCACAAGCAATTCACGTGTGTGCTCTGGGCCTCCACTAAGAGAGAGCATCTACATTAACACAGTATGGGACATTAGTTCAGTGATGACTCCCAAGAAAGCAGATACAATTCTTGAAACTGGGGCTGTCTACAACACCTGAGGTCAATCATCTGAGCTGTGACCTGTCCCAACCCTGCTCACTTTATCTGATGGGCACAGAGCACTCAGGGATACGGCTGCTGGCTACTTTGGACTCTAGATCTCACAGGTAATCAACAGGTATCTGGGATTGAATTAGCAAACTGTACCATGGCTCCTTAAACAGACACTGTCAGGTTTGAAATCATGTCAAGCATGAATCTTCACTGTCAGGTCAGAAATCAAAGTGGGAGTCTTCCCACATTAGCCAAGGTTATTTTGTCAAAACCTTAGAGGAGTTGGACAGTTTTTCATGTTGCAAGTGATTAGTGTACTTATTTCAGTCAAGGTGGATTGACAAACCAGACTGATCTATTTAGTTTAGTTTTTGATTCTTACATATGTGCTAACCCAAAGTTGTTGTATTTGGGTTAAATACACTGACAGAGAAAATTCAAACAACAAAAGTTTCAGCAAACTTCTGTGGCATATTCTTTTTGGAAGTCAATGCAAGATCTAAGGTATTTCTACCCAACAAGGTCTGTTTAAGTGTTTAATGTTACTTCCTTTATGGTCCTATACAGAATGCTATCACTTCTATATAGGTCTGAATGCTGCTCCATGTAGATTCCTTCTGTATATCTAAAAATATATACTTCTCAGTAGTTCAGTACATGGTTAATCTTCCCACAGAGGAAGATTTTTGTAATTACATGTTTCAAAGTAGAAAAACATCTCCTTTCTAAGAAAGGAAATATACTTTCCTATTGTACACTTTTGAATAAGCCCAAAGGCATGCACCAAAAATCATTAAAACTAACACATGCATTAAAATGGTGTAGAGTTAGACTTAAAGTGCTGCTTCTCAATTTTTAAATTTGACTAAATTTGACATTTTGTCAGTTGTTGACTCAAAGATCTCCCCCCGCCCCACACCCCATCCTGTGGCATCAAGAAAGTAAAAACTATGCATAAATCTTTAAACTATTATTTATATGGGGGAGAGAATGGATATATCAACTATCCTATTTATAAACTGGATTCCCAGTTTCAAATAAAATCAGTATTTACTGGTAAAAATTGTCAAAGCTAATTTACCCAAACAAATATTTCTAGTAAATAATGTTCTACATAAAGGATAATTTACTTTGGTTTTATGCACCTTCTCAAAAATAATACTAGTGTCCCATACGTATATCAGCAAACTGATGTGTTCCAGCAGTTGTAAGGCAAATCTTTTTTTCCCTAGTGACATCTTGTTTCCCAACAGACAAAACTAAAATCTTTTGGTGAGGAAGGGGTTAAGATAATGGCTAACCCCTTGGCATCCTGAGCATTGTGGTTTATCAAACTCTACCCTGCTAGAAGCTGTCAGGCACCCTGACCCCTGCCTTGAACCAAAAATGGCTCCCATGTCTAAAGATGCCCTGACTCCTTTTAAGTAGCTCTCAGAATTTTGCTTCTTTTTTCTTTCTGTCTGGATGTTAAAATGTCTAACAAAGCTTGTTGCAATGTCACATTTTGCTAGTGGGGCCACCATCTAATAACTGCAATCTGAAATGTTTTAAGACAATAGTTAGTTCCTAATTTTTATCAAATATTTGCATTAGAATGTTCTTTATGGAGTTTACTTGGAGCATAGATCCTTAACTTAGGTTTCAGAAGATGTGATGCCCCTGAGGTTGTATGCAAAATTATGTGTATGTGCATTTTTTTCCTGGGGACAGGGTCCATCACTTTTGTCAGATTATCAAAGGTATCTGTGATTCCCCCAAAAAGGATCACGGGACTTAAGAGGGATACCCGTAATTCATTTTATACCATGATTGGGAACTGGGAGCACAAAATGAAAAAGAACCTCCAAAAAGGGTTGAGGGAGGCAAATGTTGATCATTTATTCACACTTGGGAAATAATTACTTTAAACTAGGAAAAAGAACTAATTAAGCTGGTTAAACTCCATTTAAAAATAAAGCCACTTTAAAAAATTTTTTCATTTTCCGTATGTGGTAAATTTAGTCTCCAAGAAAAAGTTTGGGGATTGAATTTCCCTCTTTTCCTAAAGAAAAATGATAGATATAATGCTGAACATCACCCACGTTTAAAGACCTAACAACATAAAACTTAGGTAACTCTAATGATGTAAGCCTTTAACTTGTGATTTGTATAGGATTATGTAGAGTCAAATCCACATCTATTAACCTCTATTCCCCCAGACTGGTTTATAGTTAGACAACTACAATTCCACTAGATAAACTTAAAATCTAGACAGTGGAAGTTGTCTTATAGTCAAATTAAAAACAAAGCCACGGGTTCCACAACAGAATCTGGCCACAAACATTCACACCATGTTATAGAGGACATTCTCATTTCAAATACACCATCAAATTTTCAACAGAATTTTCAAATACCAGATCCAGAATGACTAGCAAAACATGCTGAGAGGAGCACGTCAAGAATTAAAACACTACCATCCCTTCTCCCCAGAAACACATTCGGGCATTCTGAAAATAAGCAAGATCTGAAAAAGGCCGCTTACTTGTTAGTTTTAAGTATGTAAAAATTATGGGAAAGGGAATATAAAATGAAACAATGAAATAACTTATAAAAAACAATTTCAGCCAAAAACACATCTCTCTGTTCTATTGACAAAACTGTCAAATCTCTTTTTTGCAATTATAAACACTGTGTTACACAATCTCACTAAGACAAAAAAATATGCTTACAGGTACACTTTTTGTTCTTTCCTTTTAGAGAACACCTCTGAGGTTATAAGACTGCCTCTGGTTAAAATAAAGTCTCTTATCCCTTGCTGCACCCTTCCTCAAAAAATGAGTCAATTCTGAATTCCAAAAAGGAATAGTCATTTAAGCAATTCTTTCAATACCAGTTATATCATATAGACCATGAGGAAACTATATGAACATCATGGAAAACTACATGAAAGAGGCAGATGCCACTGCCACCCACTTCACTTCCAGTTTTTTAAGCATGTACCCAGTAAGACTCAGATCTCATTGACTAAAGTGGAAACAAACCAACACTCCAAAACCAGGCTATCTGAGGCTGGAAGCTAGATCTCAAAGCTATATCTATCCTAAGCTTTTACTTTATTTAAAACGTTTAATAAAGCTCACATTTACAAAGAATTTTATTGGCAAATCAAGGACCTTATTAAAATATTTATCAAAACAAATTTCTGTATTACATAGCTAAGATTAAATATTTTCTTGGCTTTAAAAAGTATATTTAATTGCATATACATTTTGCTTTGGGAGGGATATTGAAAACATAATTCTGCAAGAAATTAGAAAAGACTAGAAACAAAAGTGAAAGTGACTAGTCTTAACTTTCAAAAAATCAAGTGCAAAGATAAATAGTGCAAATAATGAAAAATAGAAATTTTATAGGCAACTTTACATAGTCTTTCCTACTTCTGTACTTTTACATACTGACAACTTTATAAACCCTAACAACTATGCAGCATGGAAATGGGCTATCATTTATTTCCACTAACTAGACTCAAGGAAGCCTTTCAAAGACTTGTCTCACAGTTATTTAAATCACTGGTTCTTGAGACAGGTTGGGGAATTCACTTCTTTTTAAGCCAATTCCTAAAGGAAGGACTACTTAAGAAGGCTCTGCACTGACTTAAACAAGTTACAGTATGTTATTGTATTATAATTTGAAATGTGACACACACTAAAATGTGAAAATTATACTAAGTGCCAACTCTATAAAATAAGCAATATAAAAATAATCTTCCTATTGTTAATGAAGTTGACATGTATAAAAAAGAAAAATTACCTTCCGAGTACAAAATCAGAACCTATTTTTTTGACTATTTTAAAAGAGATTTTTAATATGAATGTACAGAGATCTAATTAAATGGAACTTGAAAATATATGTCAAAATCACTGGGAATAACTCATACTAGATTTGCTAACAAAGAGTTAATCCAAATATATCTGAATTATGTAATTAAAAATATCATAGCAATTCTTTATCTTAAATAATTTAAAACACCCTTGGGATTATGAGAACAGAATATGAAATGGTTATCTCACTCTACAAAAGAACATAAGAACCTCCAAGATATACTAAATTATGTAATTAACATCCACCACCAACAAACTCAGAAAGTCTACAATTTTAAAGTAAGAGAAAAAGTGGAAAAACAAACAGAAATATGAGTTTAGGGGGTATATCATCTAATTTCAGAAATACAGTATTATTGAAGGCCTCATAAAGTCCACAATGTTAAATGGTTGCCAATATTGTAAACATAAAAGAAACAGACAAGATACCTAAAATTGCAACTTGGTGCTTTTATCTGGTTTACTGTCTTCTAAGAAACTAACTGGGACCAAAGGCTAGAGTTTATGTAGAACGGAGGATCTTTGGATACAGATCTAAAGGTAAACTACATTGTGACAAGAGCCCAAGAAAATATAGTCTGTAATAATAAATATTACTGATAGTTTAAAAATGGTTAACTGTGAAAAAGTTTGAAACTTTCAACTTTTTTTTCTCAAAATAATAAGCACTTAGCACCAACTTGCCATTACCAGAAAAGCTGCCATTCCAATTTGCTATTTAAATTTGTCCCAGAAAAGTAAACATCTTATAGGTGGAAACAGATTTGTATAATGCGTTGTCGTCATCGTGATCATCATCATCATCATCATCATCATCATCATCATCATCATAACTAGCTACCAACAAACAGTTTTCTCTCAGTCAACAAGGGACTCGTTTTTTTTCTGGCATCACTGAAACATCCTTAGTAAAGATCAACTTAATTGTTCTTAGCAAACAACTCTTATACAAACATCATCTTAGCATCTTTTCCTAATCCAATAAAAATTCTTCCCAATTTACTTCCAAACCATTCCCTATGTACCTCTCACACCTCCATCCACAAACACTTTAAACAGCTTTCCCCTTCCTGCTCTCAAACTTCCAAACCAATGTCTCAGTTCCCAGAAACTTAAGTAAAAGACATATACTTCTTACACTCTTCAATTCAAAATTTCTTAACACTAATTTAGACACACTCTTCAAATTATCAACTTAAATCTTAAAGGGAAAACAGCAGGAAAAAACACTGCCCAATTAGCTCACAATATGGAAATCTTTCTGGATCATCAGTTAGCTATGTTCTAAGGCAGGAGTTAGCAATGTCTTTACTTCTTTTTGAAGGGGGTAAGCTTGAGTGCCACTGGCAGGCCTATGGCAAGAAGAATAAAGAAAAAGAAAGAAACAAGGGAAAAGGAGGATAGGAGAGACAAGATGTCAGATGTATAAGATAAGTGGTAGCTTAAGAGCCTCCAACAACTAATTGCACTGAAAATCGCCAAGCTACTCGAGCTGAAGGGGAGTTTGACCCAACTTCAATATGAATTTAATAAATCATTACCTGATGGTCCATCACTGTTTGAGCTAGTCTAGGTGACTAGAAGTCATTTGTGCCATAACTTTTAACTGCCACTTCACAACAAAAACATCTTTTCTTACATCTACCTAGAAGCCTTCTGCTTAACACATTTTAGATCAAAATATATACTAACAAGAGTATTTCCATGTTTTTCACAAATCTAGAATAGAAGGTCTTGGTCCTTAAACATAGAAGCTTCCTCATTATTAAAGTAGACCCTAAATAAAGATAATTTTCCATTGTTACAAAAATTTAATTAGTAAATCACTAGTAATCAACAAAACAAAATATGTATTCATGAAAGCACAAAAATCTTGTGATTCCAAAATGAATAAAATATTTCTGGTTTATAAGAAACAATTTTATTTTACATATATGATCATCACCATATTTCTACCTATCAATAAGACAATGTGCCACAAAAGCAAAGGATGTCAGGAAAAAGGAAGGAAACAATAAATATCAAATGTAATATGGATATAAAATAAAAATGAATGTGTAGCTATGAAATTCTTATTTTAAAAATGTTTTTACTAAGTGACCGTTGCCATACTCAGCTTTCCTAAAGAAAAAAAAATGCTTATTTCTTTTAACCTCAAAATCTGGTAGTCAATTTGGCAGATGAATGATGACGACTTGGCTTAGAACCCATATTTTCCATATTTCATCTGGTTGTTCTTATATCTTGAAATTCTACCTGACTTGGGCTAATGCTAATCTAGATCATCTTCACCTAGCCCATATTAATTAAATTTTTATTAATTAAAAAAAAAGAGCCAAATGGCCTAGACCTTAAATTTAGGTTTTGCTTTGGGATCCAATAACTTCATAAATATGAAAATCAGCTTTTCTTAAAAGTACATCACAATGGCGGGGGATTTAGCTCAGTGGTTCTGCCGCCTGCCTTGCAGGCACAAGGACCTGAGTTCGATCCCCAGTACCAAAAAAAGTACATTGCAAAGTCTGCAAAGGTGACTCTCTGGTAATACTGCTGAGTGAAAACAGTAACTTTAACAGCAATGATCACTTTAGTTTTATTGTGTTTTTCATTACAAGTGGCCTAAATTTGATTAACATGTAATGAAGAGTATAAAAATATAATGTATGATTTAAATTGGTAAATTTAACAGAATTTTGCACAAACAACTTTGGTGAATTTATTTCCTTAAGCAATTCCAAAAAATCTTCTCTCCTATTTATTCCACTCATGACACAGTATATATACCTCCAAACTATTATGACATTCCAAGTTAGGGATAATCAAGTATAAATGTTATGCTCAGAGTCGTCACCACTTTAAATTTAAGTTGCTAAAGATGCCCCTGTTTTGGCATTCTTTACATAGCAAGATCTCACTCTGATATTCAAAAGACTTTGAAAAAAAAAAGTCATTAGATTTAGTATCTCTTTATGCAGAAGAAAATTTTATGAGTATGCTCACGTTTAAAAGAAATTATGGAACTATGAAAGCTACCACCACAACAATTCAAAAAGCTCCATTCTAAAATAGTCTGGCAGTGTGTGTGTGTGTGTGTGTGTGTGTGTGTGTGTAAAATACATGAGAAAAAAATAAGTGGGAATATTGTAAAAGAGAGGGTGAGCCATGTGTGGGAGATAAAAATAATAATGCTCATGGTGGGGTGACCATCACTAGCAGATAAACTAAATTGTCACAAAAGAAAAATGTGTTAGTTTGGAAAGTTTCAACAGTGCCAAAACAAAAAATGTTAAAGCACAGAAACAAAAATGAATGAGATAAACTTTCCAGACATCAAATTCCCTAAAAAATGAAGAAGAAAACAGCTGACATGGCATCTTTTAAAAATATACAGTATTAATTCTTAACTGACTTATAAATGATATAAAGTGCTTGGGCTATCCTGCCCTCCCAGATTCTCACTATCAACAGATTTATCTTTCCCCCTCCCTTCCACCCAAATTTAGTTCCATTTTCCTGCAGAAAAAGTATAGCATCCCTATGTTAGTAAGAAATGAAAACAGTGAGTACAACTGATATAGATCCATTGACTTTTATTACAAATGTACTTGATCACTTGGCTTCAAAAAGTTTAAAATCAATACCCTATTTTCTGTATGCCAGTACAAAGCAAACTGTTTTACAAATTAAATACCTAAAATTTTGACAAAAATATTAAAATTTGATGAAAAACAATTATAAAAATCCTTAATCTCTCTCTTCAAAAAGGAGGCAGTCTTCCCAGTCTTATTATACAACATTAATAATATTCACCATTTTTAGAATAGGTAGCTAAATTATATTTTTCTGTCAGCATAAAAAACTCTTAAACTAATAGATTTTATTTGTATATGCTCCAGTTAAGTTCATGAATGCCATCTGATTGCAATATAATCAAATATCTTTAATTGAATTCTAATTTACACATATTTAATAATTTGCATAGTTTGAAAGGGATAAAGGTTATTCTAAGACTAATTATCATAGGCTATTACAGTGCTATTTTTCAAGGCAATAAGTATTTGCGCCCAAATGAAATTATCTGTCTTCTTTAGGCAGGGTTTAAAAATACTAGCAGCTTTCTTCATTACCTGAAAAATCAAACTGGAATATTTATCCATTTCTGGATATGAAGGCCTAAAAAAAATATTGATATATTTTCCATTTTGAGTCAAATTTCAACACCTGCACAACTAGAAAGTGAGACTTATGGGTTTTTAAATTTCCCTGTTGATTTTGGTTTCTACTTTCCATGGC